CCCCCCCGCCGCGCAGCAGCGGCTCCGCGGGGAAGGCCTCCCTGCCGGCACCCCGGCGCTCCCTGGTCAGGCTTCCTCCTACACCCCTTTTCTTCCCTCTGCTGCCACGAGCAATCTGTCGCTCCTCTCTTCAAACCGCTCCCCACCTACGCACGAGCGCCTTGCTGGCAGGAGCGCCCCTTCCCTCCCTCCTTCGCACCCTGCATGCTTCCCCTCGCCATCGCCAAGGCAAATGCCGCCTTCCCAGAGAGCCAGTCGCCCCTGTGCCTGGGTTTGTGAGCAGAGGTGTTCGGTGCCGTTCGCGAGAGCCCTGCTTGCCAGGTCTATTGTGGCAGCTTTGCATTTGCATGTAATTATGCGTACGCGGGTGGCAAGGGGTGATTTGCCGCCCGCTCGCTCGGCTCTGCCTCCCTCCCCTTCCCGCTCCGCGCTCCCACGCGCTGCAGTGCGGCGCCGAGCAGCAGTGCTGCAGAGGACTGACCAGCTCCCCACCCGCCCACGCGAGGAGGAGGAGCGGCAGCAGCACTCTTTTTTTTTTCCTCTCTTTCTGCTTTTTGAACATAGTTAAAAAGAGCCGTAGCGTGGGTGGAAATAGCTCTAGGGAGCGCATGTGGGAATGGGGCCCTAGGAAAGTGAATTTGCTGGTAGTAGGACAGTTCTTTCTAGTAGACGAGAGAAAGAAAAGAAAAAGCAAGGGTATCTTATTGCAGAGGGTGCCTTTAGGTGTGTAATCAAATCTTCAGGTTGAGTTTTTCAGGTCTGGAAATAAAGAAGCTGTTTCTTTCCCCTGGGAGCCCAGGTGATGAGGCAGTGGCAGCCTGCAGGCCGCACTCAGGCCAGCTTGCAGGGGAGCCTGCCTGGAGAGCCATATCCTATTGCATATCCTGTTGTGTCTCCTGCACGCAGTGTATGGGCTTGATCTGTTGGGATTCAGAGCCCCTAAGCAGAGGCAGTAACAGGCATGTGTTTCTCGCACACCGTGGGCCTGCATTCCCAGGTATAGTTCCTGCTGGTCTACTTGAAATAGCAGAGTATCAATTGGCTTGAGAAGAATTACTCCAAATTTGTGCTTGTGTGAGAAATTAAATTTAAGCTTGTTTATGTTAACAGGATGTTACTTGGGAGTCTTTGTTTATATTACATGAAAATAGTAGCAAAACTACTCTAGCAAAGCAGAGCTTTTTAAGACTAGTGGTGTGCAGTGCCAAATGGTCCTGCTGTTTCTTAAGAAGTATCACAAGCAGACTGCAAAAACAAGGATCGAGAACAGCAGGGCGGGGGATTCAGACTCAGGTTGACTTATCTAAACCTTTAGATGAATATAATCCTAATCGATTTTGTCCTAATTCTGGTTTTGTTGCATGACTTCTCAGTCCAAAACTCAACCAATACATTTGCTACAGCTAGATTTCTCACCAAGCTCACCCTTTCCAAAAATTACTACTGATGCAGACTCTCGTATCAAGGTGTAGTCTGCAGTGATTTGAAGAAAGGAAAACAGAAAACAGTGTAACAAGCAATTACTGAATTTTGAGAAATGACACTTCCAAGCTATAGCTCTGCAGACTTGATCCAAAGTAGAATGAAAAAAGTGTGCATAATTCTTCCACTAATTAGCTCAGAACAAAGGAAATTATGAATAATCCTATGTGCATAAACAAAGATCACTTGATGGACTTATGTCAACAAGAGCTAGAGAAAAAAATCTATGGGGATCTAGCCTTACTGGAACTAATTACCTTGGTGATTCAGAAGTCTAATTTCTGAATGACTTTAATATTTTGAATATATCTTTATAGCCTTGCACTGATTCTTATGTATTTTGTAATTATAATCCACTGGAATTGCATACCCGCACTGAGGAGGAAAAACATTCCAAATCGTAAGTTCATGGCACTTGGAAACATAGCAGTAAATCCTTTGTCGGTAGCACTTCTGAAAGACTGTTGGCCCACTTATAATTCTCTCCTGCATTTAATATGGGTTCAGTTAATTTTAAAGGTAGTGCTTATAACACCATTTCTATCCATGAATGTGCATAAAATTCTAAATGCAGGTTATATACCTGTCTTGCCAACTGCTGTTTGGCTGGATATTTCCTCCTCTGGTTGTGATGGAACTATGTTACTCAAAAAGCAGGGAAAAAAAGAGAATAAATTAAACTCCGCTTTAGAAAATACTCTTTAAAAATCTGTTTTATATATAAAATTCTTATTGCCCCCTCACTGTTACATCTTTAGTATCGAGTTATCCCGTAGGCCATTTCTTCTCAAGGGCCATAGTTGCTAGTGAGCAACTAGGTAACTTAATTTGTTTCAGTCAAAATCATAGTGATCCAAGCACAAAAGCACTGATGCTAATTAGTAGCTTTTTGACAGTCCAGGAATTTGATGAGTAGAGAGAGCTGAATCTCAGATGTTTCTTCTGAGAGTTTATTGCTCTGTATTAAAGTGAGTCTCTCCAGCAGGGCAGTTTGGCTGACAGCTTGACAGTATCTTTTATTAAGTGTGTTCAAACCTAAGTTATTCATCTGACACCTTGCATGGATATAATTTTTCACTTGATCTTCCTTTGGTTTTAAAAAATGATTTTGTTTTCAAAAATCCTTCTATTTTCTTAGTTCTGGAGTAAAGCTAAAATTGTTACATGAAATGCATCTGCAGAACATTGCCTAGGGGAAAGACATCTCACCTGATACTGCAAATGATGGAAAGAGCAGAGCAGACTGGAGAATTTAAAAATGAGGAATAAAATAGGTCAGCAGAAGAAAAACAGGAGTCTCAAAGCCATTAAAAAGCAGGCATATATTGTTCAGTTCTGCAGGTATTTTCTGTTTAAAGTCTGAATTAGCGGCCTTCACCGTGGAGTTATTGTGAGCAAATACTAGTTTCAGTGCGGCACAATTTACCAGCTCTCTATGACCATACATAATCATGAACCTCATGGAAAGGATAGGTAGCATGCCAGAAGTGAGGCTGTTTTTTCAAGACATACAATCATCCCAATTTGCAAACAAACTGCTTGCAGTGTATGGGAGAGGCACTTGGTGACTGGGATGGATGTTCTCATTGCTCAGAGCAGTACATGTGAATATGTAATTACTGCAGAAATAATATGCTACACAGTGTGATTTAGTTACTTTGACACACCTCTGTCTGCCAAGAAATATGCAGACACTACCTTATAAAAGAGTTGCTAAGAGCACAGGCTCCGTGGGTGAGAAGATACCGTATTAAATGGTTAACTGCAGAAGTCAACAGCAGGATTTCAATCTGGGTCCTGCAAAGACAGAGTTATAGGCTGAACTTCCACCCAGGAGAAGTTAGCTACATGTAGAATTAGTTGGGGACTTTTTTTTTTCAAAATTAATGCATTGCGAAGTGATTTTTACTGTTAATTTTAGCCTAAATTTTTCAAAAAAAAATCAAGAAAAAATGACTTTCAATCTGTAACCATCATGGAAATATTCTTTCCCTGAAGTGAGCAAGAGAATCATATATTGGGACTGTGCATTACCTTCCTTGGGCCACTGGGAGCATCCCTAGAGCCCCTGGGAGGCTTTCAGCACACTCATGACAGACTAGTTTCTTCACAGAAAACGACAGCAGAATTTTGCAGATACAACCATCTGAGCATTTCCCACCTTACTCGCTTCTTAAGCGTGAAAAGGCATATTATTTACAGAATTAAAAAGCCCAGAATTCCTTACAGTCATCCAGTATACAATTATATGCAAGTTTATTGGGTATTTGTCCAACCAGTCAGCTCCCGTGGTGAGTCATTTGCTTTTGATGGTTATTCACAATAGGAGGTCACAAAGCTTGTAACATAACTATTCGCTGAGGGATCTGTGAGTTGTTTCTAGGAGGTGAAGGAAATCTTTCTTGCTAGAAGATGTCATTTGACCTTAACTACCTGTTAATTTTGTATTGTAGATGTTGATGCCCTCTTCTATATGGCCATCACTTTTTACAGCTTATTTATCTGTCTAGAAAATAAAATACCGACCTACATCATCAAAATAACAATTCAGCTGTGTTTGTAAAGTACAGACCTGACAATAGCAAAAAAACTAAGTTCAATTCTTCAGAAGCCAAACTGTATTTTCACGTTCCACCTCTCCTTTTCTCAGAATGGCCTCAGCTAACTCATAGTCTAGGAGGAAAAAACTATTTCCTCCTTTTAAGTCTTGTAGGTACAAACGTGCTCCATTTGTTCAGCCACTGCCCTTGTTAGGATATCACTTCCACCCAGCTCAGAGTCCAAAGGTTTGGCACATTTGTTTAGCTAGTGACTCTAAAGGTATATTAGATAAGACAGGATTTCTAAAAGAATTGCTGCACTTTATTTAAATGATATAATGTTTACCTAAAATTCGGTGCTGTTAGGTCAAAGAGACATGTCACAGTTTAGGTGTTTAAAATTCTTTGTCATTATTACTATTGAAAATGGAGTTTTATGCTTATTAGTTTAGACAGTGTTGGAGGCAGAACATATAGGGAGCCTGTATGTCATGTACAATGCATTCATGTCCATAAATGTTTTCGTTTTGAGCATGGGATATTATAAATGACCCAGCTTATCTGAGAATTTTCAAGACTGAGTGGTATTTCCGAGAGCGTCATCCGAAGGTGGTGTAGGAGTCAGGAGGCCGGATTAGTGCAATAATGGGATGCGCTAAGTGCATGAGCTGTGTTTCATGTGCCCTAATATGGGAAGAAAGAGTAAACCCATCCATTTCCTCCAAGTCGGTCTGACTTTGTAGGTTTGTCCTATGCCCCCTTAGTTGTCCCTTATCCAGACCGAGGAGTATCAGAGCACTGAGCTGTTCTGTGCAGATGGGTCATCCCATCATTTTGATCATCCTTCTCTTAACCTTTCCCAGTTCTTCTTTCCCTGTGTCAAACAAGGAAACCAATTCTGGTTTTCTCGGAGAATCCCTTTGGGATCCATGTCTCAGTTTCTCTCAGCATGGAAAAAAAAATCTGTGTAGTTTGCCGAAGTAGAATTCCTTCTTACCTTTAAATTGGTTTTGCACTTACAATATTTTTCATATACTCATGAGTACTTTGACATTTTTTTTGAAGTTTCTGGTAACAAACAGCTAATAGCACACTGTAGCAGTACCAGCAATCTTCAGGGAGCTAGTTTGTACCTCCAAAAAAGCAGCTAAAATTATCTAACCCAACAGGCAGCAGGAGTCCTTTTCTCAAATGTTAGT